AGATGACGTTTTACCCCCGTCTCTAGACCATAATCCTTTTCACACTGCTTTTGTTCTTTAATTATGACTATTGTTCCTGTATTCTTTAAGGAATCAAAAATTTTAATATGAAAGAATTTTAAAAACTATTATGGTATAGAGTCGGGGGTAAAACGTCATCTCGCTTCAGGCTTATTTAGCAGTCGTTAGCAGTAAAGTTGCAGTTGTACTGAGAAGTTGCTTGGACTTCTAATAAAGACTCTACCAGCAAATGCCCCGTAATAGTGTCAGCTGTTCTAGACCAGTGTCCAGCAACTGAGGTACTCCAACCGAAGCATTGAGAATTGAAATCGGCAGACGATTTTTTTCTATTCTAAAAATTATGTTAATTTTTTTGCTTGGAGTGATGATCAGGCATCAACGATTCTTATCCAAGCATGTACAAGGACCTCAAGCAGACAGACAATGTGTAGTGTTTTTTAGATCACTGATCGACTCATAAAGAGTCATAACGGTTTGGTCACGCGACCCAAATTTCGACAATTTTTACTTTTACCGGATTCATTTAAAATTCTTAATATTTTGAACTAGTTCTTGATGACTTATTTCTCAAACTTTAAAAAGAGAACCGCTGATATGAGAGACGATCATCAGATGTCGAATCTTGAATTAATCAGTAACGCATATACGATCCGAATCGAATTGCTGTAAATATAGTGAAGGCATCAAACCCGTGAAATAAAGGATACTAGTCGAGGTGTAAAAGTCAAATAGACACAAAAGAAAACAATGGAATCAAGGTCCGATAAAGCGTGTTAGTCTAATATCTATTTCGATGACTCTTCACTCTGCTGAATGGATTTGAAATTAGGTGCAACACGCGATACAGTCCAAAGTTTCAACCATGACTTGAATGATTCTTCAACTTTTAAAAAGAAAACAAATCCGTTGACGAAAAGAGAAGGCTTTTAAAAGAGGTACCATTGCAAGTGGATAAGAAAACTGGATTATAAAAGAGACCGTACAATCAAAGGAATGACAAGCTCAAAACTTTTCGAATTGGATTTATGTACAAACTATTGATATGCATTAATATATATAAGTCAGATGTTTCACGATTTACTACATTACCTTTGAGGACCTTTGAGGAGCTTTTTTCCAGTGGTTTCTTTTTGCTGGGAGTATATCTCCGTAAACGTTCTGTTAAGTACCAGTTTACAGCGCTACAATGCCGAGTGCTTTCAAAAACGGTTCTTAAATCTTAAATTCATAAAACTAACCCTATTGTGGTGTAACTAACAGCTGGGCTTATCCGGGCAGATGTGAATCCAACTGTTGAAATTCATGGAATCCATGAATAATATTATTGGATTAACTTTCTTTTGAATAAAAGAATAGAATGTTTGGTATGCTAACTGTAATTGTCGCTATGGATACGCCAAAATCTTCAATAATGCCTTATAAAAGACAGAATATTTTCAATGGTGAAAGCCATGCACCCCACACGTCCCGGCCCCCCTTTAAACAGAGCTGAATAGGCTTTAGCAGTTATATCATGAACCATTGCACACAACATTCATGGTTCAATACTTGAATTTTCTTATTGATGCGGGCTTTCACGGCGGCCATGTTGGAGGACTTTAACAAAAGAATTGTCAATGAATTCTTTTGTTATATCCTCCAACATGGCCGCCGTGCCTTTTGTTATTTAATTCTCTTGGGAATGGTTGAAAAAACCATCAATATTCCAACTTAGTAGAACATTTCGAATTTTCTAGATTTAGAATAAAGCGAAATGTCACATGCGAGGGAATGAACGAGATAGAGGAATTGCTATTCCGTGCAGTTCCACGCAATTGCAATGCATCCTCGGGTCCAGGGATAAAATTCTGTCGTTCGCTCAATTCTCGCTTCCAGGAAAAAAAACCCCTGTGCACGAATTAGGAAGCAGCCAAAATCTCAACCACATAAATTTGACACACTTCTGACCAACCCTTGTTACTGAATGACGATTTAGCACTGAAATGTTGAACGTCTCTGACGTCTTAAAGGGGGTTAGGTCTGTTGCGTAGAGGAAACGGGACGTCATTACTGATTGTTGTTGATATTAATTCTTGCTGTTTTTTATCATACCAAGATTATTCGCTTTGCAGACAGTTTGTAGAATAACCAAAATTTCTGCATTAAATTGTAGTGTATATTATTTTCTATCGTTTCATCAGTGCTGTCTAGTACTTTATAATACACCCAACACCCTCGATTCTGATTGGTCTTGAGGAGTACAATTAATCGTTAAATGTACTCCTCATGAGTATCTAATAAGTTGCTATGGGAACCATATAAGTACAACTTTATATCTGTGTTTTAAGCTTACAAAACATGTTCTTTACGACTAATCTTTTTATGCTTTTGAACTGCCCTTATATTTTAATTAGTTTTCAAAAGAGACAGATAAATGGCTCTGCTTCAATTATTTTAGTTTTGTTGAGTGTACTGTACTATAAATGAAAAATAGCACGACCTTCTTGTACAATTTGTAGTTAATAGATACTCGTAATGTTTTGAAAGTTATCAAATTGGACTCGCCTAAAGGCTCATGCAATTACAAGACTTTCAAAACATTAATCTTATCTATTAATAACGAATTGTACGTTTGTGCGATTTCCTAGTATAATATACTAAAAGTTTTCCGTCTTGAATTTTATTATCAGTTATGTGCGCAGTTTGAGTGGTTCATCTTAGAAGATCACAGCTATAAGAATCATCAGCAGTCTTTCCATATTCAATAATATTATGCCTTTTTCCTCGCTATTTCTGTAGTGATTTTTCGCAGTAAAATTGATCCCTCGATCGAATATTCAATAATAACGACTTCAAGGATTAAGTACTTATTATATTTATTTGCTATTAGGTAGAACAGGACGCACAGGACAACTAATTTTCAAAGGCGTGGGAAGGGTTTCTTGCTATGAGTGATTGCATACGCTAAAATAATGCTCTGTGTACATGCTTCTATGTCATGAGTTTTAAAAAGTTTTAAAGTTTTCTCTAATGGTTATCGAGTTTGAAGTCGAATAATTACTGTAAAACTGAATAGTGTTAAACTCCCGGCTCTAAAACGAATATCGAATGCAACGATTATTTTTTTCTTCTTTTGATTCCTTTTGTTCATAAGAATAACTAAAGTTATCTTAAGCCAGTAAGACTTAGCAAATATTTTATATTTGTACATAGTAAATTAAGTTAGAATTGATAAAAATAAAAGGTTATAACAATTGAAAGAATAAAGATATACTTACTCAGATGGGTAACAGTGTCTGGGATAAACGTACAAACGACGCGATGAAAGAAAGAAGCGTTTTGGTCTTATCACCTTGCTTTTCAATAATAGACACCCAACTCTCCCGGAAATGCGTTTTTTCCCTGGTTTTGTCTCCATAGCGAAAAAAATAATTAACGAAAATACATCACTGATTAGAAGATCATAATCTAAAGAGTAAATATGTCCTTGGGTCATAATCTTAAAAAACTATTTGAATTAATATTATTGGCGTGGTGTTATTCCATGTGGGAGGGTTTGGAGTACGTTAAGAAAAGGATGTGACGATTCTGGCGTCCTTATTGAAGATCCGGAGAATGACCGTATATTCCGCTCGTTTGTTCCTTTTTTTAACGAGATTTGACGTCGTAAGACTTCCCTACAAATTCTAACCCTTTAGGCTTTAACTATTGCTCGGAAATCAGACAATATTCTCGGAAAAGGAATCTTATATCGAGATAGATACACAGTTAGCGAAGCAAGCGAAAATATAATGGCGGCGAATTTTGAAGATGAAAAAGCTTAACTCACACCTGTAAAAACAAAGCGACGGAACGGCTGTACTTAATTAGTATATATAAATATGCAGAAGCGTTCTTTTTTGTTAATTAATATATTAACATAATTGCAATGGAGGCATTTTTGAGGATAATTCATTTTCAGTTAATGATGAGGATAGCGTCTACGTTTTTGCTCTTCAGAACGAGTATTTTTGACCACTAGGGCCTCTTAGGGCACTCGACTTACTGTCTTTACGGGCTCTCCGTTTTTCTTAATATTTGTATTGTTATCAGTACGTATTGTCGTTTAATCGACTATCTGTATGCTTGGCCATGCCTGGCTTTATCTCAGAGTCGTTGTGCAAGTCAAATTAATAACTGATAAGGACAGCAAAAGACATCCATTCCTTCGACTTACGTATGTGATCTGTCGGTTAGAAGTCATTAGCTGACGAGATTAGAGTTCCAATTAGCTTTAACAGGAGCTTCAAATGAGAGAAATTAAAGATTTCTTTAACATTTCTGTTTTCACGCACCTTAATCGTCTTTACGACACATCCAGATGTTCTGTTATCATTTCTAAAGAGATAAGCTTCATCTAGCAAGTGGTTTGGAAAAAAATTCAAGAATCGAAAATACTACACAAAATAAAAAGGATGTCGTACCATGAGGGTTGAATGAAAAAAATTCTTAAATTACAAGTTTTCAGGCTGGAAAAGTCTTAAAGTAAAATAGTAAAGAGCCAATCTTTTTTGGTATTTTGAAATTTGGGAAAGCAGAAAACGAAAACGGCAATTGGAACTTTGCACTGGCTGCCACATCATTTACTAATTTAATTTGAGAGAGATCTACTGATATCCACCTCTTTCTATTTCTGTTATCCCATTTTCTTTCGAGGTAAAAAAATGCTAAGAAAGCGTTCATTTTAATTATACCCCTCGGTGGAAAAGGAAAATTTTCCAAAACCGCAGACAAAACTCACCGGTTAAATTGTCAGCGCATTAGCAAGAGACACTGAGTCAAAACTCTCCCGGGGGGAAGTTGAGTACAGATAATGTAAGATTGGTAAAGATTATGTTTTAGGATCAATAGAAAGAGATTTTAATCTTACCCATTATTGAATTTTAAAATTTCTTGATGGAGGGAAATTGCTGTAACGAGTACAAATACGACGGCAATTAATTACCCACCAAACGCTGAAATAGTCATCATCAGCTACGAGTTTGTTGTACGGACGATATGTCGTCATATCGCCTGTTAATTTATCATTAATGGTACAAGTTACTCAGTAATGTGTTGAGTATAGATCGAGTAGGTAACACAGTGCCTAATGTCGGCGCTTCCAGGGATTTCTGAATATCATTTTATAAAATATTTATTTGTAAGGCCACAACAAACGAACAAATTTTATGGGTTCTTAACTATTGGGGAATTAAGAACCGAAGTAAACGTAACATTGACGCCACTCTCACAACTGTTCAAGAAACTTTAATTTCAATTTATTTGTACTTTTGATATTATTACCTAGATATTAAGATGAAAAGAGGGACAAAGTTAATAAAGAACAAGTCAGCATTGCGTGCGCGCGTTTTGTAGACAATTAAAGCCATCATTTTTCCATCTGAAACGATTTGTTTTATATAGAGATTTCTTTAAAGACTAACTAACAAATGCAGCTATATGCATCTTGTTGTGTTGTTTTTTCAGGTGAATGGAGCTTGACGTGAATCGACGTTGAGCCCGCGCTTATTGTAGACAGCAGAAGCTCGTTACCTCCTGGTCACTACAGCCAATGTCTCGCTCGCAGCACTCCTCGTGGAAGGTTACGTAATCCTGGATTGTCATTGGTCGACAGCCGTTTCTCTTTGATTGGAATTTGCTGGCTCTCTTTCTTTGAGGAACTATACAAGAAGTATGGAGACGTTTAAATAATTTTGTTTATTTCATATTATTAATGTCAATAATCATTTTTTAAAGTATATATATGTATGGAGACGTTGAAAATGTTTTTATTTGAGCGAGTCGTACACGGGTAAAAACTGTCTGCGCATGCTCTGGGTCCGTATGCAAATTAGTCGCCAACGTCTTCGTGCCATTGTAAGACTATTGGTCAGCATGTATATTCAGTATTTAAAAAGGATTTATACAGTTATTTCAAAAAAGRTTGAATACTGAATACTGCATACTGAATAGTGCATTCCAAGACCAAAGGGCATTGTGAGTCTCGTTAATTTGAAATAAAAAGTAAATATACAGATTAACTCTCTACATGTAGTTAGTATATTGTTTCAGATGGARTACACTAAAAATAGAATAAATAATTATTATTAATTCTACTTTAGACAATGTCACTATTCAGTATGCAGTACTCAATATTCGACCTTTTTTGAAAGAGCTTTATATTTAGTACTTAAAAGGGTTTTATAAACGATAAATATGAATACTCAATATATTACCAGATCTGTTGTGTAAAACAAGGGCATTCTGGCAGTTGTACTGAAGAAATAGATCAATTTCTCTAACACTGTGCATGCAGTACCTCCGCGCATGCGTAGTACTTGCCATCAACACGACGACAGCCAGGAAGCCAAGAAAAAACACTGTCAGAGTCTTCATCCTGTAATAAAAAACCCAATTATCAAAGTAGAACCAGTAGACTTCCGATGTTTCGTTTTAAGTTTGTACGATTCAACAACACTACTTTGTCGTAGTTTTGTTTATCAGGATGTGTACAAATTGTAAAGAATTATTTTGGTCTTATCGTCCCTACTCAGTCTCTCTTACTTAAAGCAAGGCACGTAAGAAGCAATGCTGAAAATATCCAGTGGGGGCGATAGAGGGGACTAACCATTCTTTTATTTACAGCTAGGAATGAATAATGGCCAACAGCGTTGGATAATATTTGGTGGATTTGATTCCTTTTGCTTGTGTTAGTGACTAAACAAAAGATTCCCTACGTACTGATCTGTGTATCTATCACCGAGGGGGGCCTTAATCTTTAATTCTCTTTTCGATGTTTTCCCACGGATGAAAGAATATACAATAAGATTATACAAAAATATACGTATACTTTATTCATTTTTAGCTTCTAAAGAAGAAGAGAAAAAGCACGCTCATTCTCGCCGTGTTCTAAAATTCTTTGCTCGGTAGGATTTCTTATTGTATATTCTATTTTTATCCAACTTTTATAAAAAGAATTCCTTCTAATAAAAGATTCTCGGATCTAAATATATCGAGGGATTTATTAATGGTATAACATCACATGGACTTTTCCACGTGGGGAGGGTCGATTTATAATATTGTCGATGTAAAACGCGTTTCTTATATAAAGGAAAGGATCTGAGGACAGGTCTAATATAAATCTGATGCAAGGGAATCTGTAATTCCATTTTTAACCCTCATTGAGATTTTAAGAAAGCGTTAACATAAAGATATTGCGCACTTCTTGTACCACGAAAACATGTTTATTTTATTCCTTCTTCATTTTTGCCAAAGTATTTTTTTTCTTTTGAGAAAAAGGGAAAAGGAAAAAGACACAATTGCACCGAACAAAATGAAGCGCCAGATGTTTGAAAACTACGAAAAGAAAGAAAGAAAGAAAGAAAGAAAGAAAGAAAGAAAGAAAGAAAGAATTAAAAATGGAATGAGAAGTGTGTGTTGGTGGAAGACGGAGCGCCTTGATAACAAAATACGTAAAGGAAATGGTTATATCAGTGAAAAACGTTTTAAATACGATTTCTAACGGATTCTAAAAATAATAATCGACTACTGGTCTAGCCCTTCCCAAGCATTCCAGAAAGGTTTTTTTTTCAACTCGACTATCTATAACTAAGATAAACAAACTTTAGTGTAGTGAATTTAGGCCTCGCCCCAGATAAATCACGAGAAATGCGTGCAAACTGAATATATATCGATAACTATACGCTGGTATCTTGAAAAGGATTGAATTCTGATATATTTCTTCAAGGCTTTGATTATCAGATGTAAGAGATCGATTCGAACAGCTTGTCAATGCTAAAAACCTTAACAATGTAGACATTAACGGACTATTTAAATTGAATTAAAGCTGTAGCTTCCTGGATAGTAAGGGAAAATGGCATGGCTAGCTCGCCCTTTCGATATGTTCAGTGATAAAGCTTGACGTATTGAGGATCGATATGTTCGCAGACCATTGTTCCCCGGGGACTTAGGTTAGGTTAGATGGTAGACAGAAGATCTTACTCCGGCTGAGATTGCTTCTATGTTTGCTTAGGTATTGCTAGCTAGCCCTTTCGATGTGTGTCAGCGATAAAGTTTGACGTATTGTCGGTTCCCAGACGATTGTTCCCCAGGGACTTAGGTTTGATTAGATATAGTTGAAATCCTAAGGGCTGAGATTGATTCTAAGTTTGCTAAGAATAATGGCATGGTTAGCTAGCCTGCCCGGCAGGCGATATCTCTGGGGTTTGGTTAGATGTTAGACGGTCCTTGGGGCTGAGATTGAGTCCTAGTTTGCTAGGGAGTTCAATGATTACGATAAAAGATAAAGTCCTTTTCTAAGGAACTTGGTATAACACTATGTGTATTAAATATATTCCCTTTAGTTTAGTTTTTACAGCTTGTATATTGCATGAAAGAATCACGCACGACACGCACAAAGGGTTTTGTTCGTGGATCCTGAAATTCTTAGAGTCACGATTTCAAAGTTTAAACAGCTTTATCGCTCGAGGCAATAATGGAGCTGATGAACAATGAGACTCTCTTAGATCGAAAAAAAAAATCTTTGTTTTGACCTTTTTTGAATAAAATGGTAAAATGACAAAGCATTTCTTTGTCTTCCGTATGTTTATGCCACCAAACATCTTCAAAAAACTTGAGTGTCTTTGAAACCTGTTTTCTAATGTGTGTTTTTTTTCTTTTTTTTTTCTTTTTTTTTTTGTTTTTTCTCTCTCTCTCTCTCTCTCTCTCTCTCTCTCTCTCTCTCTCTCTCTCCCCTATCTTTTTTATTTGTGTGTGTATGTGTGTCAGCATTCGATCGAGTTTCAATTCGGCTTTTAAACCAGACGTCAATAATTTGATCAAGAGATCCAAACTGTCCTATTTAAGTATTCAAATTGCTCAGTATAACCGGTATCTTTGATATAATTTCTTGATTAAGCAGAGAAAAAAGAGCTCTCCTAATGGTCTGTAAAGCAAATATCCGTCTGCTTGTCTTGGTTAAACCTTAGATAACGCAACAGCCATCGCCTCGAGTCGTTACGGCTTCCTTGTCCTAATTAGTAGAAAAAATCCTAACGCATCTCAAGAGGATTGATTTTACCGTTGTAAATAACACACATTTAAAGTAAAAAAAGAATGTTGGAAATTCGGTATACTGAGTGAACTGAATTGTCTCAAAAACATTAGTGACTCTCCTTGGTCGACTAGAAAAAGAACCTGTTAAACTGGCTAGTTTAGGATGCTGTTTGTAACTTTATCGACAAAGTTTCAAAACAGCCTCTTGCGCGTATGATAAGACCATGCTCTCAAAGTCTAATTTGAATTTTTTTCTCGAGCAGGAAAAGAATCCATCAGTTAGTTTTCAATGACAAGAGGGACATTTTTGGTTTACACAGATGATCTAAGCCTTATTTTAAGATACCAAAATCTTTCACACAAGCTTCAGATTAGATAAAGTAACGACTCAACGAAAACGATTATACGATTTTCGAGTTTCTGAGTTGACGAGATGTGTCTGTCAATCAGTTAGGCATTAATATAATTAATCTAGTTCAAGAAGATGCTGAATCTATCTTATCTTTCTTTCTTCATTTCTTTCTTCGTTTGTTTTATTTGTAACAATTCTGTCTCGTTTTTGTCGTCATTTATTCATATATTCATTCACTCGCTCCTTTTCTTTCATTCTTTCTTTCTGTGGCTACGTACGTTCCCTCTCCTTCTCCTTACTATCTTTTTATTTCAATCTTTACTGTTCTGTTTTCATTTCTTTTTTCCACAATTTTCTGTCTTTCAATCGATTTCCCTTCACTCAACAACACACGGCTAACTAACGTCAAATATCAACAGTTTTAAAAAGACTAACTTTTTCTTTAAAAGTGAATATCACACATAATATTAGCACCTTGAATTAATGCCAAAAAACTAGAAACCAGTGAAATACTTAGGGAATCATTATTTTTAACAGCCAACCGTAACTTTACTGACCTCAATGAATAATTGAAAAGCTCTACTTCCTTCCACTAAGTTTTTTTCTTTTACTCTTTGGTACACAAGGTAAGATATAAAGTAAACACAACAACAGGCAGAGATATTCGTAGTTAATTTGAGTACTATGGGATGAACCTTTATGAATGAAAAAAACTCCTTTCAAATTAAAAACGAATAGCAGTTATGAAAAAATTTAAATATTGATCAAAAAACATTCTACCTAAACTTGATTCGAATATTTTTTGAAAGTCAATTTTGATATCAAAAGTTTCTAAGAGCGAGTTATTTCATTATTTACGCGCTAGCTGAATAATTTGATTTTAACGTTCAAGTTTATGATATACAAGAATGAAGATGATAACTAGCTTAACTGTACTTACTCTTTAAACTTCAATGGAATCAAAATCTTGCGAGTGTATGTTGTTAATCTGCGTATGCGTTGAAGGTCGCGTTTTAACTGATCGAGTATCTTGGTAGAATACCTAAGTCGATGTTAGGCGTGTATGGTCATTGGTCTTTCCCACGCATGCGTAGTTCATCAGGCATCTTTATTCTCTCGACCAAACGTAAACAAACGCCTTGTTCCGGAAACTAAGTCCCTTATCCCCGCGAGATTCACAATAAAGCTACGCAGAGAAAAACTGCTGCGTATTATAATCTGTATCGCGGATTTAAAGGTTCCTGGAGTGAAAATAAAACCGCTTTGTGTCGTGATCGCATTAAGTCCCATTTAATGAATTTCATCTAACTTTCTTTTCAAGTATTCTTGAGAATAAGGGAATAATAACGACACGAGAGGGTTTTCATTGATGGGATGAATTTAGGCAATCAAGCGGTTTACATTCTGTTAATTAATATAATCGTAGTAGAGAATCTACTAGGTTCGAAGAACGAGTTTACGATTACACCTGTGATCAGATGGTGACTTTATTAAAGAAAGGCTAGCCAGCAAGATTACACAAAGTAATTTAATTCGAAATTCTATGCCTGAGATAATAAATTACTGTGTTATAAATAAACCTGTTCTCTAAGAAAACCCAGAAGTATATTCCAGTATGTTTGCGCGCAACTACATAAATGCCATAATACTTGAAGTCTCCGTGATTGAATTTTTAAATGATGTCATACGCAGAGGCGTAGGAATGAGAAAAAATCACCTTGAACGGAGTAACTTCTAGACTGATCTAATGATATTTTTAGATTAACTAGGCCAATTAACTTGAATATATTTGCAAGCTAGAAAGATGCTTGAGCTTGATTGTACGTCGTTTAACAAAAGTTTTTTCTACTTAAAGTTCTCTAGTTTCGAGTTCTTCTCTACTCAGCCTATTAAATATCGCGCGTGGATAATGCAATCGAATAAAACAACCTGAAAATGGCCTACATTTTTTAATATTACGTTACGCCTTACTCATTTAACTCAGAAAAGTATAAGTCTGTAATATGTAGTAGCTTATTTTATTATGTGTCCCACGCAGCCTAATGAAAATCTTAAATAAATTAACCCGAGTGAGTGTTGATATAAGATCTGCCGGATCCCGTGGGATTAGCATTGATCTCGCGGGACTGTTCCTTGACTTGGATCCTTGACTTGGATCCTTGAATTACCACCTGATTGGCTAAAGACAATAGCTTCAAGTTAAGGTAAGAGCTGACTGGTTTTCCAATTTTTTCGATGGGCCTAGGGGGAAGGGGGAAGGGGAGACTGCATGTTTTCTTAAATAACTGGAAGGGGAATTACGTAATATTGACAGATATCAGATATCAAAGGGTGGATTACTCAGTAGCAACCACTAAAAACTGTTGGGGGGNGGGGGGGGAGGGCAGGTAGATATTGACAGAAATCAAAGGGGGAGGGGGGTTAACTCAGTATAGTAACCACTAATGTAGGGGACGGGGGGGATCATAAAGAAATGTAGTGCCTCTTTGGGAGGAGGGGGATCAGCTTATCTTTTTGACCCCCCGGGGGATAGATAATGACCGGTCCTCATATAGATTAGGTTTTTTTGAATAAATGTATGTTTTCATTCGAACACAAGATGCACCTTTGCAGTGAGGAAAACTAAACCAAAACCATTTGTTTAAGAACTTAACACAGATATTACTAGCGCACCCTAAGCTGAGCTAGGCGCTGTATACGTAAGTCGTTAAAAGACTCTTTTTAGGTCTCCACTTCTATAAATCCTCTTTGAATCAAGAATATTCTATGATGGCGCGCAGCTGAAAAATATTTTTTCTGTCTCCACAACACCGTATTCAAGTGAATACGAACACTCAAAATATGAGCGATATACTAATTGAGCTACGTAGTGTTTTGGTTTTAGATCTAAAGGTTAAATGAAAACGAGTTATCTTCTAATTGGTCGTGGGCTGTTGTTTACTGTATACTGTGGTACATGTTATGATAAACGTTTCTTTTTCTTTCTTCTGGATATCAATGTAGCTCTCATCGGGCGGGACCATTAAAATAAACAAAATAATGTCTTAGTAAATTTTTTGAATAAGAGTTCAAAAACAAATGTTTTGATTAGCTATTTTCTCGACCGCGAGCTGTCCCACTTTCCCTTCAGACTCGGTTATAACGAATGTTTTGACCGCTAGCAGTTTACTTTTTTTCTTGAGGTAAGAAATACTGAGATTTCGCGAAGTTTCGCGAAGTTTCGTTTATCAAGCTCCTATTTAGTTGGATGTAAATTAGTTCTTAATAGTGGGTTACAAATTTAATATATATAAACACCTATTTCAAAAAAACGTTGTCGGTCGGGGATTTGAAATCGAAAATCTGAGCCCGAGTAACACGCTGCAAAATGTAATATCATATAGCTATATACAGCTTTTACAAAAAAGGTTGAATACTGAATACTGCATACGGAATAGTGCATTCCAAGACCGAAATGCATTGTGGGTCATAGTGACATTGTCTAAAGTAGGATTAATAAGTATTATTTATTCTATTTTTTGTGTATTCTATCTGAAACTATATAATAACTCAACTCAAATTTGGATTTTTACAGAGGGAGGAAAAAACAGAGAACCATACGCGGGCGAAAAAACTCTCGTGGCATGGAAGAGAACGACACATTGAACAAACTCTTCTACGTGTTGCGCACGTAGGGCTCGAAAAACTAATGGTAGCGATGCATTGAATATCGGAACGAGATTTTCAGTTTATTAGAAACTCAATTGACATGGTTACGCTAGAACTCCCGGAAGTATTTTTGCAGGTACTCAACGAATATGGACGCCATATATAATTTTTTTTTTTTGGCGATTTTAAAGGAATGACTTTGGCGAGACTATGAACAAAAATCACGAACTTATCATTATGATCTCCTTTTGAGCATAAGATTATACTTTGTGATTACGGGGGAAAAAAAGAAGAGATCCGAGTAGTTAAAGGGGCTGCTAGCTTTTCCTCTCACAGAACAATTAAACAATCATTACCAAAAATCGCAGTTTCATTATAAAACTCGGCCACTTGCTGTCATTCAGTCAGCTTATCTCATCATCTCTTCATCCGTAAGTTCTCGTAAAGAAAAAAAAATCAGTCTGCAGCGACCCTAAGATATCATCCATTATTATTAGACACTATTTTACAAACAAGAAAAAAACTTTTGTCTCGTACTTAAATTAAAAATTCGCAGACATTTCGACTAGTTTTTTTAGCCGTACTTCTTCTGAAGCTCTCTCGTTACACCACACTTGATTACAAGGTTCGTAATTTACCTATTACGCACACACTTGATTAGTGGAGTTCATTTTGGTCTCTGAGTTGCAACTGGGCCATTTTGATCCATGTGTATTCGTAGTCACCTAGCTTTCTAAAAAGGCCGTTCCATTTATGAAAAATCCGCATAGTGTATTGAGATTTTTCCTGGCTTAATATCAAGTGTCGATATGGTTATTTTTATATCTTAGTTAGGCCAATTGTTTCCTCATTGCTTTCAGTTCGACTCCGTTGAGCCGCGCCACTGCAGTAGTGAATAGCGATAACAAAGTACTCTCAAAAAAACATGGTCAAATAACTCACCTTCTGTAACCAATTCTCTAATATCTCTTTACTAACGTTGTAGTATCTGTAATATATAATATTTAGTACTTATTTCTGAGCTTCATGTGTGTGTGCACTCTGTTAAATACAACAGCTTGTTTGACGTTTACAAGTTTTATGCATAATTGATATCAATGATATCCGCATGGTTGATTCCAACAGATTAACACCTTTCAATGAAAAAGATTTGATCGATCTAAAACGATTGCGTATTGTAATTAATTTTGAATTTAGATCATATGTAGTCCAGAAACCTTGAAATGCTTCACAGGAAGTTTATTTAACAAGTGCTTTTGACTGATTGTCCTTCGCTTTAAAGGTCTTTTTTGCGCTTTTACTCGCTAGTCTAATATAATTCTGATTACTTAGTTATATACGAGATTTTACTCCGTTTCCTGCACCGGTGCGATAAAATTGATAGCTCAGTAATTAGTTTAGCGCCGCTATTTTTATCAATGCGCGATTTCGACTGAGCTTCTTGTACGTGTGTGCTCGTCAAAGGTTGCGCAAATTAACAAACAAACTAGGAGGTTGCGCAAATGAAACTAAAATAAGAAACATACCGGAACCCTTGCGCAAATGAATGAATAGAGTCAAAGGTTTCGAAGATGAAAAAGAAAAAAAGAACAAACTATAAAAATAGCATATTTGAAGCCTTGCGCAAATGAATATAAAACCGCAAATGAAAAAAGAAAAAGGAAAACAAGAAAAGTAAATAAATGAAAAAGAAAGTACATTAAAAAAGGGAAATATTTGAAGAAGTCACGATTAATCAAAATTCTCTCCAAAGTCGCGCAAATGAATCAACAGTCATTAAATCGGCCTTATCCTCGAGTATATTTATACTTCTAAGTATTCAAACAAAAGGAATCCCTGAGGGGTCGGTCAAGTTGCTCTAAGCGTCTTATCTACTTCAAGCCTTCTTTAGAACCCCCGCAATCACGACCTATCTTCCCACTTTGCAAATCTCAGTAAATATAAAAAAAGCCAGCCATAAGAAGATTAATTATTTATTTCTAGAAGTTTCGATTAATAGATCTCTTTACCTTGGTTGTAATTTTTTTTCATTTCTGACCACGTGTCATTCTCGGCTTTAAAAATAATTTTTCCTTAAAGAATAGACCGTTTTCTCCGCAAGATTTCGTGCGCATCCAAATTTAAGGAACTTGACGGGCCACGATACCAGAGCACAAGTATTAACATGCATTGCTATAAAACCTTTTTCGATAAGAATTCATAAAATTGATTTTTCTCCTTCTAAATATAAAACTGTCTTCTCAATTTAATTTTACTGAATTTTCGCTTTTTTTGTGGCCCTTCAAGTTGAAATCGCACGCAACCTTGAGAATACGGTCCATTGTGTTACATGTAAACGAAGTGGTATCCATATTCATGTGTCTTTTCATGCACAACCATTAAACAAAGAAAGGATACTCTAGCGAGTGACACGTATAGTCTGAAAGGGAAAACATTGCGCTTAAACGGAAGAGATCTATTATGAGAGATTTAGTGAATGATAGTTAGGAACTATTTTATACCCATCTAAATATATTTACAAGACAAAGCCTACGTCTGTGTCCCCGGGTGAAAAACTTAGTGGCATCGACGTCGTGCGTAAACCAAACCAAAATACGAGCGTGATACACGCTAAATACGTCAATTATTGTGGTGTTTTTGTGGTTTGAGTGACCTGTTTGATATATCTTAAAGAATTAAAATGCACTCCCTACTAATACTGCCTGTAATATTGCGCGCAAACTAAAAAATACTCACAACTCACAACATCTCAGAGAATAAAGCTGAATGTGTTTGTAATAAAAGGTTGATATTCGGTTACAATTGCTTTCTTTCTTTTTCCTTTTTTTTTTTTTTTTTTTTTTTTTTCTTTTTTTTTTTTTTTTTTTTTTGGCCACCGGATGCATTAAAAAAAAATGGATGATTATCTAAACATTGTTGCATTAAATAAGTTTGATTTTTTCAAGATATTTTTCTCG